GACTGGTGAGTTATGTGGGAATATGATAAATATTACTACCCCTGCTCCTTTTGGATCTTTTATGGTGGCATGAATCCCTGCAATCCCTAACAGTGATGCAGTGTGGCGTCTGGTTTATATCTTGAGAGAGTGTAAAATGTACAGGGCCTTGCACTTGGCTCTTCCTACTAGAATAGCCCTCATCCCGTAAGTACTCATGCTGTGTGCGGGTTCTGTCAGTGGCTAAGATTTCTATTCCAATTACACAATCAAGAATGGGCAAGTAACCAGCCAGTGGGTGTGTGGAACAAGTGAACTAATGGAACTGTGAGTTGGACATGAGCTAAGATTTCACCTATCACTTGACAAAGATGAACTTCGGCTTTGGTTGAAGAGTCATGTAGTGTTTTTTCAAGGTTCCTAGGAATTACATCAATCCAGAGCCAGTGTCTAGTAAACCTCAAATGACCCACGTGTGTCCTTTTCCCTGATGCACACTCTAGTAAATGGCCACACATCTCCCTGAAGAGGGCTTGGAGGGATTTGCCATGTATCCTGTGACAATGGTACAAGGTCTCCCCTAAAGGGTACAGACTCCTTCGTCAGGGGACTGTGGATTTGCACATTAATTTAAGTCTGAAAACTGAGGGAGAGGCTGCGTGTGCACACAGTGGTGACTGAAGTCAGATTCTGGCTACCTGACGTGCTTTCCTACTGCTTGTTACAGATACGAAACAGTACTCTAGTTAGGCTGCCTGTCTTTTATTTTTCCTCGGGAATTTCTGTGAGCCAAGGCAGTCCTGTCACCTGTGACCTCCTGAGATGTGCTCACCTTGTCATTGGTGGTTAGGTGCTTCCTGGCTTTTGCAATTCTCGGATTCCATCAACCCCACTGAAATTGGGGAACCCGTCTCAATGGCGGCATCTTCTGTAGTCATACCTGGCCTACAGAGAAGAGCTCCCAGGAGACCTCCAAAGGTGCAGGTGGCCCCTCGTGAACTCATGTCTCAATGCTCAGTGAGAAGGGGAGTGTTGTCTGGGCTTCTGTATGGAATGTGGATGGTGGATGGGTGTGCAAGTTACATGTAATAGATCCAGCACCTCAGTTCATTTTTTTTTGCTCTTGCAATATCACAGACTGGGTAATTTATAATGAACAAATTTGTTTCACTTATGGTTGTGAAGGCTGGCAAGTCCAAGATCAAGGGGCCACATCTGCTAAGGGTCTTCTTCTTCTTTTCAGAGAGATTTTTTTTTTTTTGCTATAAGGCCCATGCACTCTCCAAAGAGACAGAAAGTGAGAAATCTCCCCCCGACCCCCCACTGGGTGGCTATGCTGTAATTCCTTCTCTATTCTTCTCTTGGGATTTTGGGCATGCACACACATGCACCCAGCATGAGTTTTAAGCTGCTGGGTCCGGGACTCGAATTGTGGTCAACTATTTGGGAGTCCGTTGATGTAGCCATTACATCATCTGATGACACCAGATAAGGGTCTTCTCGCTGTTGTACCACAGTGGAAGGTGAAAAAGCAGGACAAGGTGAAGAGAGAGAAAGTGGGGGCAGAACTCACTTTTATAATAAATCCACTTTTGTGATAAGGAACCCATTCCACTACTGTGATATTAATTCATTCATGAGGACAAAGCCCTCATGACAGGATCACCTCTTAAAGGTCCTACCTGTCAACACTTTCGCACTGGGGATTATATTTCCAACACATGGACTTTGGGGGGCACATTCAAAGCACAACATCCACTATAACATTCTTATCTCCCTAAACCATTGGACTCCCTGTTCCGTCACATCGTGGGAGCTCTGGCACCTCAGTCTCACACACTGACGGCCACCACCGAGTCGAGGTTCCTGGCAATCAACCAATCTAATTGCTGGCGCAGTCTCAAGCTCCTCTAGCTGCATGAGCTAACACACAACACCATAGCCATAGGCGTGGCTCAGTCTAGGGTTCTAGTCCACCCTCTATAGTCTAACACCCTGAGAATCTACTCCTACTCACAGTTTCCAGCTCTGCTAATACATATTGATAAAGTCTTGCAGCTATTTTGATGTGTAAGTTATTTATTATTCCATTATCATGTGTATCTACCTCCCAGGAGCAAACTGAACCTTAATTCTGAGTATGTAGCGCTGGTAATAGAGGATGAGAGTGGTGGGCTTTGTGGAGAATGGAGAATGTTCATTCCTTAGCAAGGAACCTGCCTCGGGTAAAGCCAATTGCTTCTGGTAGTTTTTACAAATAGGTTGAGGAAAACACACATGACTCACCCCCTAAGGTTTGCAAGCAATGAATTGTTCTTAGAAACTGGACAACTTACTTCTACTGGTAAGAGGGACATGACTGGGGGGAGGTTAAGATAGTTTTATCTAGTCAGCCCATTCCAAGTTTGGGGATCCCGATTTATTTGGTGTTTGTTTATCAACTTATTTATTGATATTGAGTTTTGAATTAACACCCGAACTTCCACACGAGAGAGCGTGGCCTGTCTGTGAATTCAACAGCGATTATAATCCAGTAACCTGAAAATTCAGAGTTTTGTGCTAATGATTTCAGTAACATCATTCTTGTTGTTGTAACAAGATATAATACATACGATCCAGACATATTATAATGACAGCTTCTTTTAGAATTGTTACAGAATCTCTCTGGCCCTGATACCACAGCTCTGAATGAGCAGACCATGCCGGTCACTTCTCCCTTTTACCACTCAGAGGCACTCCGAAGAATCCGTCTCATACCACAGTCTTTATATTCTCCTTTAGAGCCATGGAAGTCAGGTGGAGCAGCCACTTGGGCCTTCAAGGCTTGTGCTTGTTGGCACTTCATCGGGATCAATCGCAGACGATGGCTCGGGTAGCTGAGATGACCTGCATGCTATGAAACGCTAGTATTCCATTTCCCTTCCATAAAAAGCTCAAGCCCAAAGTCTCAATCATACTGACCTCCAAATCCTGCCTTTGCAGGTCCATCTCTTGGGACTACTCCTCGGAAAGGAAAGGCTCATAATAAGAATTATGAGCTATAATAGGGGATTAGAGTAACGAGAGATTCACAGCAAGAAGGGAACTCTAGAGAATACAGAAACAGCAGTTCTAAGGAGCTAACCTTACAACTAACTCTTGGGCTAAGAGATAGGGTGGCCAGGGAAGAACCCAGCCTCCCTTTTCCCCCTCCACTCCACAGCCCCATATTCTCTAGGGTTAAGATCTAGACTTGTGGAGAGGGCATAGTCTAGATCATTGCATGGAAAAGAATCACAGTGGTGCAATGCTGAAAATTGTTGAAAATGTGCCCTCTGCAAATGTGTGCTGCAAATCTTTTTTAGGGTGCCAGGAAAGCGATTCATAGGGCAGTGTCTCACCTGCACTACTAAACTGCTAGAGCTAGGGGAGTGAGAGGGGCCTGCTGCTGCCAAGCACTGTGGAAGCTTGGCACTGGAGAAAAATACAGGCAGTACCCCCCTCCCCCCCCCCCCCCACCGCTCTTTCCTGTTATGGCTCTTCAGCGCCCTCTGCTGACAAAGCTTCAGTCCAGAAGGCAAAGGAAACCCTGTTTAAAAGGCCCAGATCCATTTTCACAATGCAGTCAAAAAGGGTGAATTTGGAGCTGAGAGGCAATACATCAATAACAAGCGCCAGCATATCCCAAACTCCTCTTACAGATCTTGTAGTCAGATGTTTACACCTGCCTGAAGGGGCTTGTGAGAGGCTCTGTCCCTCCAGGTTTCATCAGGATATCACCAAAAGCAATGCAGGAAAAGATGAGCCCAGACAGGATTCTCAGTCCTCTCTTCCTTTCCCGCAGCCCCTCAGCGAATACTCTTCCAAAGCACGCAGAACCCGGTTCCTCCAAAACAGAAAACCTGGGCAGCGAAAGGGGAGTGGGGAGTACGCGTGGTCCCAGTGGAACGCGGGTTGCTGGCTCCCGAGCGCCACCAACGACCCCAACTCCAGCAAAGCTCGCTCTGGGGTCACAGGCGCTGGGAGAGGGCTCCGCTCCGCCCGGGTCCAGGGAGGCAGGCGCGGGGCGGGCCCGGCGGGCGGCGCGCGGCGATTGGGCGCCGGGGGGCCCGCCCCCTCATC